AGCTTGATGGACAACCCGAGTTCAACCCCTGGAATCCATGTGGTGGAAGGAAAAGACCAACTTCCACTCATTGTCCTCTGACCTCAATATGCTTGCCATGGTATGTACAAACCTACTACTGACCCCCCACACTAAACAAACAAATGAATGAAAGTTAACTCATTTGTGGAATTTCTTCTTATACTTTTGATGGATGTTGTCAGCTTACTCTTCTTCAAGAGTTGTATATTGATATTCCTGCATGTCAAGTGGGGATTTTTATGCTATTGCTTATGAAGCTAAGGTGGTATGAATTCATATTAGTGCTATACATTTAAGATATTAACTATAATCTCCATGGTAGCTGCTAAAATAAAATCCAATAAGGGATGTCACTGAAAAACCCCACAAATACAAGAAAAAGACTTTGATGAGCATGGTTCCTGGTTTTATTTTATTTACTTTGCATTTAGTTTTTTTTGTTGTTGTTGTTGTTTTTGGTTTTTTTGTGTGTGGTTTTTTTTGGGGGGGGGAGACTTAGTTCATGCATGCCTGTGGGTGGGTGGGTATCTATCTACCTACCTATCTATCTACCTGTCTGTCTACCTGTCTACCTGTCTGTCTGTCTGTCTGTCTGTCTGTCTGTCTGTCTGTCTGTCTATCTATCTATCTATCTATCTATATTTGAATTTAGAGATAGGGTCTTTTTCTGAATCTGGCTAGTTACTACCCACCCCCTTGCCTCCCATCCTGGGATTACAGACACACGATTGCTGCACCTGACTAGTGGATATTGGGGATCTGAACTTAGTTCTACATGCTTGAGCAGCAAGCACTTTAACCATCTTCCTAGATGCTATGTTTAGCTTGTGTGCTCGCACTCTCTCTCTTTCATTTTGTTTTTCAAGACAGGGTTTCTCTGTGTAACAGCCCTGACTGTCCTGGAACTCACTCATTAGAACAGGCTGGCCTGGAACTCACAGAGATCTGCCTGTTTCTGCCTCCTAAGTACTGGGATTAAAGGTGTGTACCACTACCTCCTGGCTCAAAATTGCACTTTTAAAAATCTTGCTGGTCTGGAGAGGTGGCTCAGCAGTTAAGAACTCACAACCATCTGTAACTCCAGTTCCAGGGATCCATTTCCTCTCTGGCCTTCATGGGCACCAGGCATGCACTTGGTGTGCATACAGGCATGCAGGCAAAACTCATACCTGTACATCTTTTGCAAGTAAAAACTATTTATTATGATAAGAACTTCTTTTTGTGGTGCTGAGGATGGAATCCAGAGGTTCATGCATAGTAGGCAAGCACTCATTGAACTACACTCACAGCCTTACTTTTTACATTTTAAGGTTTTTGCTTCAAAGTTAAATCCATAGCCTATCTTGAGTTGATTTATAGGTATGGGAATCGAAGTCTGGTCTTGGTAGATCTCTGCATCTTTTAGGCTTCATTCACTCCTTGGTCCTCCTGAGCCCTATGCTCCAACATTTATGGGTCTTTTATAGGCTTTCTATTCTCTTCTGTTAGCTAATATTGCCACTGTCTTCATTATAATAGCTTAATTGTAGCATGTGATTTTTACGTATTATTACATTCTTCAGGCTTTCTTTTTCACTCTCTGTTTCCTTTGACCCATAAAAATTTTTCATTTCTGTGCAGTCCAGTTTATTTCCCCCCTTTCTGTTGCATGTGTATTCATTTCATAATCTAAAAACCATTATCATATCCAAGATCCCAAAGATTATATCCTTGTATCTTTTATGAGTTTCATACTTTCAGCTTTTAAATGTAGCTCTCTGATCTCATCTCTGTTTTTAAAGATTTGTTTGTATATTTTTATGTGTTTAAGTGTATGTGTATGCACCACAGGCATGCCTGTTGACCTCTGCAGTCAGAAGAGGATGCCAGCCCCTAGGAAATGGAGTTACAGATAGTGGTTGTGAGTCTCCATGTGGGTGCTGGGAACTGAATCTGGATCCTCTGCAAGAACAACAAACACTGAGCTAGCTATCTTTCTAGCCCTGTGATCTATTGACCATCCCCCATTCGTCACCATCCTTCCTGTTTTTATTTGTGTGTGTGTGTGTGTGTGTGAGAGAGAGAGAGAGAGAGATCAGAGATCAGAGCTCAACTTGTGGGAGTTAGCTAAGGTTCTGGGCATTAAACTCATTGAACTCTGGTAGTTAGTCTTCCTAGCAGGCACTCTCACCGCTGAGTCATTATGCTGGACCCTCTGATCTGTTTTCAGTTATTTTTTTTACATTGTGTAACGTTTAGTCTTCCTGCTCACTGCCTGGGTCCTGTTGCTGCTTTCAGCCCCCAAATAACACACAAGACACTATATTAATTATGAAGCTGAAGCTGTTGGCTGTTTGCTTGGTTTCTTATCGGCTAGCTCTGACTTTATTATTGACCTATAATTGCTAATATATATTTTATAAGGACTTACCTTTTTGAGAATGCAGCCTCTTGTGTCCTTTTCTCCCAGGAGATCACATGGTGACGACTCTCTTTACTACATTTCCCAGAATCCTCTTTGACTCCTAGTCCCACTATTTTGCTTCCCTATTGGCCAACAATGTTTTATTTATACCAATCAAACATATATGCAGAAGGACTTCCCCCATCAGAAAAGGACATTTTTTTATTGCTTGTTTTTTAGCTATCTGTGGTCTCCTGTAGCCCTTCAATTCTTGTAGTTGAGAGGATGGTCTTGAATTCTTGGTCCTCTTGCCTCCACATTCCCCCCCAAGTGCTAGGATTACAGGTGTGTGCCACCATACCTGATTTTATGAGGTTGGAACCTGAGGCTTTCAATAGGCTAGCAAGTACTCTGACTGAACTATCTCCCAAGTCCAAGGATACGATCTTAGAGTTTAATTTTAGAGTTTAATTAATAATGTGGTTATCCAGCTGTCCCAAGAGCAGTGTCTAAAGACTCTGGTTTTTCCCCCATTGAATTGTAATGTGGCACCTTCACATTTTTTCAAAAAATACTTTTGGTATTTTTAATTATGTGTGTCTGTATGGGTGTTTTGTCTACATGCCTGGTGCCCATGGAATCCAGAGGAAGGTACTGGATTCCCTGGAACTGGAGTTAAGGACTGTTGTGAGCCACCATGCTGGGAACCAAACTTGAGTCTTTTGTAAAACCTTTGAGTGCTCTTAACTGCTGAGTCTCTTACTCAGGTTTGGTTCTCAGTACCCACATTGGAATCAGAGGATCTGATGGTACCCCCACAGTATACATACAGACAAGCAGGTCTGCACACAAATAATAAGTAAATAAATATAAGCTAAACCTGAGTCCTCTGGAAGAGTAGCAAGTGCTCTTAACTGGTAAGCATCTCTCTAGCCCAATCATGGAACCAAAATTACATTTACGTATTTATTTCTTTAGTGTATTATGTGGGTGGCATGGTGTTCTGAGGACAGCTGGTGGGAATTTGTTCATTGCCTCCACCATGTTAGTTCCAGGGGTCAAACTTAGGTCATTAGTAGATTTGGCAAGTAGGTACCTTTACCCAGTGAGCCATCTTGTCAACCTTGACACCTGTTTTAAAGAAAACCACTTCATCACATTTGTTTGGATTGCTTTTTAAATCTTAACGTTAATATTTTTCCTTTTGGAAAAGATTTATTTTTATTATTTTTAATTTTGTATATGTGCATGTTTACATCAGGTGCCAGTGGAGGGCAGAGGAATCAGATTCCCTAGAGCTAGAGTTACAGGAGTAAGCCATCATGTGGGTGCAATAGAACCCAGGTCCTCTGGAAGAGCAGCAAACGATCTTAACCATAGAGTCATCTCTTCAGCACCTCTCTTGTTTTTGTGTTTATTTTTTAATACTGATGGTTGAAATAAAGATTATGATTAACATCGTATATTTATAACAATAGAGCTTTAATTGATGGCAGTTTCACAAATTGGACTGGGGAAGGTCTCTCCACCCCACCCCCAGACAGGATTTCTCTGTAGACCAGGCTTGCTGGCCTCTAACTCAGAGATCTACCTGCCTCTGCCTCCCGAGAGCTGAGATTAAAGTGTGCTACACCACCTTTCACAGTTCTGAGTTTCTTTTCATTGTCCTTCCATCACATACTGAATAGCATTTATTTATTGCAGGGCAGGCATATTGGTAGCAAACTCCAGCACTGCTTATCTGAAAGGTCTTCAATTTGGAATGTGGTTTTGCCAGATATAGCATTCTTAGTTCGAAGGTCTTTTTCTCCCAGCACTTTATCTTGGGAGCCCACTGCCTTCTGGCCTCCATTTCTGATGACTAATTGGCTGTAAGTTTTATTTAGGATCTTGTGTATACAGTGAGTCATTTCTGCCCTCTCAGGATTCTCTGACTCTCTGCAGTTTGGTTGTTAGGGTCTTGGTGTGGTCTCTTGAGTCTGATATAATTGGAGTTTGCTGAACAGTTTGGATATGGAGATGCATATCCTATAGCAGTAGCAGGCCATTTTCTGCTGCTCTCTTTTTTCTTTCTTCTGGAATTCCCCTTATGTGTATATTGGTCCACTTGATCATGTCCCTATTACAGAGTTATTGATCAAGAAAAGCAAATCCAGTAATATAAGATAGTATAAAAAACTAAGATGTCAAAAATATATTATCAGCATTTAAACTTGAGACTCTGTCATTAGTTTGAAAGAGATGCTAATGTATTTGTTTTCACCTTTATCAGCACAAATATTAAATTTACACAAGTATTTTGCTTTAGAGGTTATATATTTGGCATTTATTTTAAAGATTTATTTTCATTATTTTTTTTTTTGTGTGTGTGTACGTGTATGTGTGTATTGTTGTTGCTTTGAGACAAGGTTTCCTCCTATAGCCCAGGTGGGCCTCAAACTCTTAATCCTCCTCCCTTAGTCTTCCCAAGGTCTGGAGTCAGACACCTGTACCACCATGACTTTTCCTGGCCTCCCTAGATGTTTATATTTTTGTTTACTTAAGACATTGCCTAGATGCTTATATTTTTAATATTCTCTTTCTCTTTTCCCCCCAGAAGGTGTGAAGTCTCAAGTTGCCCGACACAGTCTAAACTATATACAGGAAATTGGAAGTGGCTGGTTTGGAAAGGTAAAGTGCTCCTGACTTTCTTTAACTCCTTCTTGATTATACAGTTCACGCTTTAAAGCTAATTAGGAATTGTGTCATGTGACATTACATATTCTCTGTAGATACTGTAGTGTTAGTAAAAGTTTCCTCATCATCCTTTGCAACTGTGAGGTTGCATGAGTTCAGCTGTGCTGGGTGCAAAACTTTCTAAGAGGTTGTCTTAATTCCATTCAGATTGCTGTAGCAAAATACCATAAGCTTTAAGAAGCAAAAATTTATTTCTTGCAGCTCTGGAGACTGGGTTCCAGTTGATTGGGCATTTGATGAAGGTTTATACATGGTACCTTCTGGCCATTTTCTCACATGATAGAATGGCTTGGATGGACATTCTCTGGGATCTCTTGTAGTTTTTGTTTGTTTGAGATAGACTCTTACTGTGTATCCTTGGCTATCCTCAAACTCATAATGTAGACTAAGCTGGCCTCAAACTCACAGAAATCTGTCTTCCTCTGCCTCCCAAGTACTGGTATTAAAGGAATTCGCTGTTAAGCCTGTTTTTTTAAAATAAAGATTTGTTTGTTTGTTTATTTATTTGTCTATTTGTTTATTTATTCATTTTTATGTATGAAGTGCTTTATCTACATGTATGACTTTATGCCAGAAGAGGACATCAGATCCCACTATAAATGGTTATAAGCCACCATATGGTTGCTGGAAATTGAACTCAGGGCCTTTGGAAGAACAGCCAGTGCTCTTTTTTCTTTTCAATATATGTTTTTATTTAAATTAGAAATGTGAACGTTTCACATGTCAGTCCCAACTCCCTCTCCCATCCCTCCTCCCTTGTCCCTCCAACAGCCCTCCAGTCCCCCACTCAATCCCCACATCATTCCCCAGGGAGGGTGAGACCCTTCTTGGGGGGGGGTCTCTAAAGTCTGTCATTTTATCCTGGGCAGGACCTAGGCCCTTCCTCATGTGTCCAGGCTGAGAGAGCATCCCTCAATTTGGAATGGGCTCCCAAATCTCATTCATAAACCATGGTGAACACTTACCTACTACCCAAGTCCCCAGTGATTTCTGTGGCCTCCTTCCTGGCACTACATTCATGGAGTCTGGATCAGTCTCCTGATGGCCATTCAGCTATCAGTCTGGGATTCAAGAGCTCCCCCTTATCTGGTCAGCTGTCTTTGTGGGTTTCATCATCATGGTCTTGACCCCTTTGCTCATCACTCCTCCATCTCTGTCACTAGGTTCCAGCAGTTCAGTTCAGTGTTTAGCTGTGGGTATCTGTCTTTGCTTCCATCAATCCCTAGATGAAGGTTCTAGGATGGCATATAGGATAGTCATCAACCCTATCATCAAGGAGGGGCTATTAGTGTAGTCTCTCCTCTATTGTTTAGTTTGCCAGTTGGTGTTGTCCTTGGAGATCTCACTAGAATCAGCTCACTCCTCAAGCCTATAATGACTGATCTATTATGGTATCTCTCATCCTGCTCTCCTCTATTCTTACTTCGACTCAACCTTCCTGCTCCCCTCAGCCAGTGCTCTTAACTGCTGAGCCATCTCTCCAGCCCCGAGCCTGGTTCTTGTGTTTATTTTTCCTGGAGATGGTGAGGGAGGGAATGTGTGTGTATTGAGACTCTCATTATATTGGCCAGGTTGCTGAGAACTCCTAGGCTCAAGTGATTCTCCTGCCTCAGTCTCCCAAGTAGCTGGAGCTACATGTGTGTATCATTGTATCTAGCTTGAAGCCCTTCTTATAAGAACCCTGTTCTGTCCTAAAGGGTCTGTCCCCTGATGGGTCACAGTGGTGGTTAGTTGTCAACATGTGCATAATGATGGGGGAATACATACATTTACACCTTAGCAGAATTCTTTAAAAGAAAAAAAAAACACTTATAATTATTAGCTGAAGAACTATGTGAAAAGAAAAGACATGACTTTTTTTTTTTTTTTTTTTTTTTGGTTTTTCGAGAGGATTTCTCTGTATTGTTTTGGAGGCTGTCCTGGAACTCGCTCTGTAGACCAGGCTGGCCTCAAACTCACAGAGATCCACCTGCCTCTGCCTCCCAAGTGCTGAAATTAAAGGCATGTGCCACCAACGCCCAGCAAGACTTGTCTTTTTAAAAGCTTTTTTATCTTCAAGTTTAATTATTTACTTTCTTCTGTCTCACCTCTTTTTCTCTCTCTTCCCTGTATAGTACCTAAACTAGTTTAGATTGTAAACACTGACACTGAATACATCCAAAGGCTTTGACTTTGGATTTTCCTGGAAGTCAAGCCACGACCAAATCAAAGATCTGCCTGGCAGTTACATTACAGAGTGCCAAGATGAAAGCAGGGGAGTTGGTTGTAAGCATCAGTCTGTATGTTCCTTGTATGTGTGTTTTCTGGGCTGACCAGTTAGTGTTGGATAATCCATTGTTGTGCTCCTCCCTGCAGAAGACTGCTTGTCCGGCTCAGCATTCCTGAGTTCCCTGTAGTCTTTGTCCAGGAGGATTGAGGCATTGTGAGCTTTCCCTGTTTTTATATATATATATATATATATATATATATATATATATATATATATATATATTTTTTTTTTTTTTTTAAATTTTAGGCACAATCTTGCTATGTATTCAACCTCTTGATCTTTCTGCCTCAGCTTCCCAAGTGCTAGCATGAGAAGGGGTGTACCACCATGCCCAGATGTGCTTTATTTTGGAGGTTGAGAAGCAACTTCAGCCTATTTCTGTGTCAAGGTATAGGATAGAAGGGAGCAATTGTGAGAGCAAAGTCCTTTGAAAGCAAGAGGTCAGGTGTCAGTAGCACACACATTTGAAAGTTAGATCTTAGAAGCAGAGGTGGTGTTTTTCCTACATTGGGGCAGAAGCAGATGGTGTAGGTCTGGGTACAGGTGTACCAGTGGGTATCAGAGTGAGAAAGTTCACTTCTGCTGTCTTCAGTGGAGAGGCCATTTGTCTCCAGAGGGAAATAGGGAAAAGATGTATGGAGGTTTGAGTAGAAGGTGTGAGAGTCCTTGTGGAGAATGGGGTGCTCAGAAATCCTATACATTTAGAATGACAGCAGTCATCATCTGTAGTTTTCCCTCTCCTTTTGACTTTTTTTTTTAATAGTAGTTGAATTTAGCAAGCACCAAGGTCTGGCTAAGCTGCTGTATTTTAGAGAGGAAACAAGGGATTAGTGATGGGTAGGGTGGCTACTGGGTTTGCAGGGCAAGTTGGCTCCTTGTAGGTAGAGTTAGAGTGCAGAGGTAAGTAAGTTTGTGATAAAGAGACTTGTGGGGAAATAGAGGTCAGAATTCAGGGTCTGGAATATAAGGTATTTACTAGCAAGGTCTAGATCTGTGGGAATAGTGGCAGGGATTATGGGAAAGATGTTTGCAAGTATGATAAAAGGATGGAAAGGTCTGTTGGAGGAGTGTTTCAGCCAGTAAGAGCACTTGCTGCACAAGCATAAGAACCTGAGTTTGAAATCCCAGCACTCACATAACATTGCTAGACGTGGTCTGTGCACACTTGTAACACCAGCACTGAAGAGGAGGGGGCTTGATAGTTGCCATCCTATCTGAAAGATGTTTGCTCTAGATTCAGGAATAGATTCTGCCTTGAAGAAGTATGGTGGAGAGGATAAAAAATACCCTTTTCTGGCCTCTGCTCATCCACAGCATGTGCAACCTATACACTCCACATACTAATTGCATTGTCACATTCACAAACATACAAATTAAAATAAATCCAGTGGTTTGACTTAGCGGGTGAGAATGCTTGCCACTGAGCCTGATGATCTGTATTTAGTGCCTGGAACCTACACGGTAGGACAGAACTGACTACAAGCTGTGTATGTGTGCGTGTCTGTGTGTATGTGCTCCCTTCTCTCCCTCATACATTAAATAAAAATTTTAAAGTGTGGGGAGGTTGTCTGGTTTCTGTACATACTGAACACCAAGAATGCTAATAATGATGGTGGAGAGAAACAAGTTGAGTCAGGCAGATGCAGTAGCCCACCATTGTTCCTCCAGTTTTGGAAGTGGTGCTTATTGTGTATATATACAGGCTGGTTAATTAGAGCAAAGACTGTGATTTAAATAATACTCAGAATTTATTGTACTCTTCAGAGTTCTGCTCTTAGATTCCTGGTAAACACACTTAATTTTGTTTAGGTCTTTATTCTTATCTCTGGCATTAAAATTAATCTACTTTATACAAATACCTAAATGATCTTTCTCTATGTCTCTGTCTCTTTCTGTCCTCCCTCCCTCGCTCCCTCCCTCCCCATATGGCATATGTTTCCTGTGAATGCATGGAGGCCTAGAGGTTGGTGTTCTTAGTTGCTCTCCACTTTATTTTTTGAACCTGAAGCTCTTCAGTTGGGCTATAAATTAAGCTAGACTGGCTACCCGTTAGCTCCAGGGAGTCTCATCAGATTTATGATTACAAGGGTGCACCCACACACCTGACTTCTTCAATTTTGAGGATTGAACTCCAGTCCTGGTGCTTATAGAGCAAACACTTTACCACCTGATCATCTCCTCGGTGTTTAGAAACTATTTCAAAAGAAATTAATCAATCATGGTCATTCACTAAATATCCTTTTCTTTGCCACCAGTCCGAGATGAGCTGTGTTTGGGAATATTTTTGTATTGTCCTATATTTAACCTTTCCTTGTAGCAAGTTTTTAAGAGGTAGCTTACTTCACCTTTTAATCTCAGGGGAGTGGTATTTTTCTGTGTTTGTTTGACTGAAGTTTTTGGACAAGTCAAAGGCCTGATGTCATCAGAATACCATGGATTTTTAAGTCTCTGTGCGGTGATTGCTTGTTGGCTGTTTATCAGCCGACTGCCTCCCATGTGTAAACTGATACCCATGCACCTGATGTGCTTGCTCTGGAGGAGTGCTTGGGTTATTTGAATGGAACTCACACATCGTTCTGCTATTGTGTCATGGGTTGCTCCATGAAAAAACATTTCCAAGCACATAGAAAAGATGTATAACATAAATGTTTAAATAACCTGGTGACTTTTAAAATGGCCCTCTATTACAGCCCTTTCTCCCTTTCTTCCTCCCCTTTCCTTCTCTTCTTTTCTCCCCTCTTTCCGGATCTTTCAACAGAATCTCTCTGTGTAGCTCAGGCTAGCCTTTTATGAACTCTGTGTCTTCCTATGGCAGCCTCCACAGTGTGGGGGTACATGCATACTCTGTCATACCCAGTAAGTGTTTGACTTTCCTAAGCTTTGTGAGTTGGTATGCAGAGTAACAGGCCATTTAGTTGTTACTTGTTTCCCTTCATTCTGTTTCCTCCTTAATGAGGCATACATCTTCATCATTTTGGTAGAAGTGACAAGAAAAAAACATTGTTTGCTTTTAGGTCCTCCTGGGAGAGACTTACACGGGTACCAGTGTAGCAAGAGTCATAGTGAAGGAGTTAAAAGCAAGTGCAAGCCCGAAGGAACAAGATACTTTCCTGAAAAATGGAGAACCTTACTAGTAAGTAAGCCTTCGTGTGTGTTCTGCAAGTGGTCTGCGTTCTGAAAATTACATTCTTAAAACTACTTTGAAAACCAGTCTCATTAGACCCAAAGTGCCCACAAGTCAGTTGAAAACCATTTTACCTCTCAGCTTGGATAAGAAAAAGCAACAGGCTTGTGGAGGTGTCGCACACCTTTAATCACAGCACTCTGGAGGCAGAGGCAGACAGATCTCTGAGTTTGAGGTCAGCCTGGTCTGTAGAGAGGGTTCTTAGACAGCCAAGGCTACACAGAGAAACTTGAAAAACTAAAACTAAAACAAAACAAAAAAAAGACAACATCGATGGCAGGGATGCTGCAGCTGTCTGTCAAGTTTTCAAGCCAGCCGTCACAAAGATATTTCACTGAACATGTGCAACACACTTAATACAATAGGGAAAATATAGGTTTATGTAGGAAACCCAAGGAATCTGTCTCTTAAAATGTAGAAAAAATAATCAAGTCCATCAAGGATGCAAGATACAGGATCAATGTGCAAGAGTCACTTTGAGTAAGAAGTGTCTGTCGTTCAGTGGAAGAATGCTTGTCCAGCACATAGGAGGCCCTGGGAAAGCATCTTACTCTGTAGTCCCTGCTGACATAGAGTTTGCTATGTAAACCAGACTGGCCTGGAACCTCCCTCCTGAGTGCTGGGATTTAAAAGCATGTGTCACCATCCCCAGTTGTGATGTGACCTTTTGAGTTTGTCATGCTGTAATTGAAATCATTGTGGTATTAAAATGTGCAGCACTAGCTATTTCTTGCTGAACACTGCTGTGGCTTTTATTTTTACCAGTATTCTTCAGCATCCGAATGTTCTTCAGTGTGTTGGGCAGTGTGTGGAAGCAATTCCTTACCTTCTGGTATTTGAGTTCTGCGACCTGGTAAGTTTTTAGTAGAAATTCAAGTTGAAGTGTTTAGGGGTTATTTGTTTTTTGGAAATGGTAGGTGGGGCTGGCTTTAATATCTACCCATTGAAGAGCTTTGTGATGTGTTAGCTTGTCACCTTTCTAGTGTTCACTGTACCCAACCCTAAGTTTACTATTATGACCATGTTGAGTCCTACAGACCTCTGATTTAGCTTTTGATAGTTGTCAGTATTGTACATATAACTGAAAGAAGGCTCAAGGAGTTTAAGCACATACTAGGTAGCACTATATGGGTGAGCTAGAGCGTGGATCCTTCATACCCTCCATATCAACCAGGCATTTTGAAATTTTTTTTCACCCATCAAGGTAACTCGTGAAAACTTTTACCAAGTGAATACCACTGGTCATTCAGATGGTTTATTGTGTGTGTGTGTGTGTGTGTGTGTGTGTGTGTGTGTGTGTGTGTGTCTGTGTCTGTGTCTGTGTCTGTGTGTCTGTCTGTGTCTGTGTGTCTGTGTGTCTGTCTGTATGTATGTATGTATGTATGTATGTATGTATGTATGTTTGCTTGTGTGTGGTATGCAGGAGCCATGTGGAGGCCTGAGGCTGACATCAGTTGTCTTCCTCAGTTACTCTCTAGACTCCAAAATCATTAAGGCAGAGTCTTGCTGAACCTGGAGCCCTCACATACAACTAATCTAGCTGGATATTTTGCTCTGGAGATCCATTGTCTCACCTTCCACATACTAGAATTATAGGTAGGTGCCACACCCATTCAGCATTTATATGGATAGTGGGGATCCAAACTCTGGTCCTCACACTTGATCCACCAAGCTGTCTCCCCAGCCCCTTTCAGATTTTGAAAATGGTGAATGCATGCATTTATATTATTAAATTAGATGATCAGGAGTTCAAGGTCAGCTACACAGTGAATTTGAGGTCAGATGGAACTGTGTGAGACACTCCCTTGGAAAAAAGGCATTTTTTTTTTTTTTTTTATTTCTAGGCATGTTACCTATGGATATTGGTAGTTTGAAAGACTATTCTTCATTCGGGTACCTGAATACTTTTAATAACAATTTCTATGCGAAAATTTTGAATAAACATCTTTTCCCCAGTACAGAATATTTTATCTTTTAAGCCTATTTTTAGCACATAATAATTATTATTTTTAAAGAACATAATTGAACTTGCCAGATTTTAATTGATTTCTCAGTTTTAATTGATGTCTCAGTTTTCAGAACATTAGAACTTCCTTGGCTGTGTACAGAGAAGTGGGAGTGCCTCAAAATAAATCCCAGTTCACTCAGATAACACTCTGCTGCTAAAAAAGAAAGCAGACTATGTTGTACATTTAGCTTTAGCTCCTAAATATATACTTCAGATATTTCTACCCTTGGCAGAGGTGGTTAATTCCCAAGGAAAGTTAATGCCTTTACCCACTAAACCCCAGAGAAGTAGGCTTCTGATGAGCAGGCCTGAGCCCTCAAATGCAGGTACAGGTGTCCATTTACTGGCTCTGAACTCACCAGTCATGTTTGTCACACACAGCTAGAGGAAAAGGAAGCTAAATTCAAACTGGCAGGGGAAACTGAAACACTAAATCAAAAATCAAAAAAAAGGGGTTGGAGACACGGCTCAGAAGAGTGCTTCCTGTTTTCCCAGGACTAGAGTTATCCCCAGCACCCACTGCAACTCACAGCTATCTATAACTCCAGCTCTAGAGTCTACACACACTCTAGACCTCCGTGGGCACCAAACATACATGTGATGCACAGACATATCTAGGTCAACAAAACACCTATACATACCAGATAAAATTGTGGAGGGGGTGTCCAAAAAAAGGTAGAAAGAAATTTCCAAATACTATATTAACTAGGACAAGCATAATGAACATGTTCTAGATTAGGACTATAGGTTAGCAAGCATTTAACAATAAACTATTTGCAAGAGACTTAAAGCAGAGAAGAATGAGTGAGTTATACTTGCCCCAAAAGTTAAATTCTAGCTACGAGAAAGCCACTTAGACCAGATTATTATCATAGTGCATTAAGAACTGAGTTAAGGTCCCCAGAACCAATGTAAAGCTGTATGCATGTAGTCTGTCACCCCAGTGTTCCTTCAGTGAATGGGAGGTAGAGACAGGAGATCCCTGGAAGCTCGCCTGGCATATGCAGTGGCAAACAAGAGCTCCTGTCTCAAGCTTGAAGGCAGGAACTGACACCAAGAAAAGCTCTACCATTGCTTGGTGTGTTAGTATGCTTAGTCTCCTACCAGGGTTAAGACTGTTAGGGTGAAGTGACATTCGTCCCCATGGACCAGCTTTGTGCTCACCTTTCTGAGCTGAGAAGCTTCACACATTGGTTCTTCAGCAGTGAAGACTGAGCCCTCACCGGGCGTTGGTGGCGCAGGCCTTTAATCCCAGCACTCGGGAGGCAGAGGTAGGTGGATCTCTGGAGTTCGAGGCCAGCCTGGTCTCCAGAGCGAGTTCCAAGACAGCCTCCAAAACAATACAGAGAAACCCTATCTCGGGGAGGGGGGCGGGAGACTGAGCCCTCACTGGGTTCTGAAGTCTGGCTACCCTAAATTCAGTTTGTGCAGAGACAGCACTGTAGGAGCAGTCAGATGACCTCAGGAACTAGGAGACCTGGAGAGCTGAAAATGGTGCCTGTACCAACTATAGGAATATCCTCTGGGCCCAGTAAGCCCGGCAGGCCTCAGGTATACCTGGAGCCTTGTTCCTTATATACCTACCCATGGCCTTCCCAGAATCAGGCCATTCTGAATGGAGGAATGTCATCCAAAGGCAGGAGCCACCATCTGGTCCTAAACCTGGTACTAAGCCACTGCAGCCACAAAGGCTGTTTCCATCTGCTCTTAGGTCACAAGCTTTAATGGACGTCTACCTTTTTAGTTGTCACAAAACAGCTCTCCTGCTCACTGATAACATCTCCTGCATAGTCAAGGGAGAATATTTTTGTATTTAAGTAATCCATATACAGTTACCAGCCTTACTTAGAATACTTGGAACACTTCTGAAAGTGTGCGACAACTCTGCTGAATGAGTTTGTGGCAGGTTTGCAATAGCCAGGTTTATAATGCTTGTTGTGCTTGGGACACAACTTGGAAGATTACTGCAGGGTTTTGAATAACTTGCCATAGTGGATACATGATGCTTTCTCAGGATACCAGGGCAGTGAGAGTGTTTCAGTTGAGGATTGCTCATCCAACAAAAATGTACTGAATGTGTGTGGCGCTCTGAGAGCTGTCATTAGTACTCAGGGAATTCCAGCCTGAAAAGTCTACCCTGCCCAGTGTGCCTGCTGGTGACTCACCTGGCCTGTCAGTTTCAGGTAGATACCAGCAAAATTGATTTCATCCATGAAACGGTGATGAGGGCATAAAGGCGTTATTTTACAGAAAATGCATGGCATACAGGGTGTGTGTGTGTGTGTGTGTGTGAACACATGTGGAAACCAGAGATTGAGGTAAGATCTTAAGTCACTTCTCCACTTTTTTTTTTTAAAGACAAGTTCTTTCACTGGGCCCAGCTCACTAGTTCAGCTAAGGTGGTCAGCTAGTGAGCTCCAGGCATCTGTCTTTTTGTGTGCCCCACTCCTCCCTGCTGTGCTGGAATTCCAGGCTCCTGGGTTTTTATGTGGATGTTTGGGATCCAACTGCAGATCATCAATCATGTTTATACAGCAGAGCACTTTACCAGCTGAGCCATTTCCTCAGCCCAGCAATTATTTTACTTTCTTAAATGAATCTAACTGCTAATTAAAGATTTGAGTGGTTAATGACAGTGCTGCTGCAGAGACCCCAGTTGCTCAACCTCAGGTAAACATGGGATGTGCTGAGAGAAAATCTAGAATGAGTAGATTTTGTTTTATTTTTTAAATGCATTTAATTTTATTATTTGTGTGTGTGTGTTTGTTGTATGTGTTTGAGGTTGTGCACATGTTAGGGCACACATGTAGAAGTCAGAGGAAAACTTTCAGGAGTTGATTCCTATGTAAATTCTGAGCTCAAACTCAGATCATTGGGCTTGGTGTCAAGCACTTTTACCAAATAAATCATCTTGTGAGCCATCTTGCCAATCCTACCTTTTTCCCCTAGAATGTTTACTGTTTTAGGGATGCAACCAGGTATCTAGAACATGGTAGGTGAAAGATCTGCCACTGAGCCACACCTCCAAAGAAGTATAGAAATTCAGATTGGGATCTTAAGAGAGGCTTTGCCTGGAAGTGAAGTTTACAGAGTGACTTTGTTCAGGTGGGAATGGTCAAACCAGGCCTGGAAGCATGTCCACATGTCAGATAAATGGTAGTGTTGAAGTTGGGGAGGGTGGAAGGTAGACTTAAGAGCATGCTTGAGGCCAGGCTGTTAGCTGAGGTGCTGTAGAGTAGAGAGTGAACTTTCTTACTTTTACTTTTTCCTTTACCTCTCTCACTGCCTCCAGAGCAGGGGTACTAGGCATTTCAGGCAGTGTTCTTGAATGTCCTCCCAGGCCACTAAGACAGCAGGTGGATTTCAGTGGTGCTAAGGAAGACCTTGAGCTCCTGATCTGGGATTACAGACAAGCACCAATACACCCAGTTTACGCTTTGCTAGAGATGGAACCCAGGGCTTCCTGCATGCTAGGGGAGCACTCTATCAACTGAGCTGCACTCCCAGCTTAGAAAGTGGGTTTTCATTGCTCTTAGACCTGGAAGGTGGGCATAGGAAGGGAGGGTCCCAGCCAGCACCAGCCACCTGGTATGCCAAAGTGGTGTTTTGAATGAGCTGTCTCCCATAGTCTCAGGCATTTGAAAGTTCTCCAGTTGGTGGTGCTGTGTGGAGAAGGTTGTAACCTTCCTGGAGGAAATATGTCATTAGAGGTGGGCTTTGAAAATTAAAAAGCCTGTGCCCTTCCCATTGTGCTGTCTCTGCTTGTGTTTTGGTCCAAGATGTGAGTACTCAGTCTGTTTTCGACATCCAGTTCCTGCTGCCTTCTGGGTACAGTGGCTCAGGCC